AAGTGGGAGAACTTGCACAATTGGTGGCTGACTAAATACTTTTTTGCCCCACTGTATGTTTGGACAGGGACCATATACTGTCTGACATATGTTCCCTGTTGCTCTGCCCTGGCATATATGTACTCCATAGCAAGATCATATTAGCATTAAATGTACCAATTGTAGTGCCATCAGTTCCTATCCTCTGTGTTGAAAACAGAAGTGCTGTATACCTGATAACTGCAGTTCTTAATCCAAATGTTTAATATCAGAGTTTGTGTGGCAGCATGTCACAGCCCAAGGCTGGCTGTTATCCTGGGATGTATTCACCCAAACACACACATTGGGTAATATGTTCTCTCATAGACATTGGGTAAACATGTTTTCTCATAGAAAAAGGGGGTACTCTGCTGCTGTGCTAGTGGAGGAGAGAACTGGAGACATAAGACTTTTGGGAAAAAGCAAAGAGGAATGGCTGGCAACCCCACCCCCACCCCAGAAGAGCCCAGGGCAAGACTCTCGAAGTGGAGTTGAGTAAGGATGCCAGGGAAGACCTGGTGAAAGAAGGGCCGATCAGGGATTATCCTACTCATTGCAAGTGGCTTCTGTGGGAAGTGGGATAAGGGAGAGTTCACATCGTGCCAACCTGAGAGGACAAATGACAACCAGCACTAATTAATCCCTTTCTTAACACTAGATACTATTTAAAAATAATATAAATTTGAAAAGGACAGGAGCATGGAAAAACCTGTATTGCTGGCCTGCTGTGTTGGCTCCACCCTCTAACACTAAGTAGGAATCTAGAAATAGCAATGTATACATTCCATTAACATGCTGGGCTGCACACATATCCAGAGGAAAGGTAATTCATTTTAAAAACCCTTAGCCAGATGCTAATAAATCAAGCCTCTTTTTCTTGCAGTTCTGCTCCTTATCGGAAGAGAGGCAAGGGAGTGGAAGAATGGAATACAGCCTGATTAACTGTTGTTTACCTGCTGCAATTACTGTTTGAATTAGTATACCTGCACACAAAACTAATAACTGGCCTTATGTTGCTAATTTAAATAAAATCACAAAGTGTCTTGATGATATGAGTTGGATCAGATCATGAACCCCTTGCCTTTTCCTTCTCCTTTCTTATGATGATTTAAAAACCTGTTTCGTTTTGCTTTGCTTTTTAATTCTGCAGGACCATTTATTAGTGTGGTGCTATCAAAACTGGAAAACATGTTGGAAAACTCCTTGCATGTAAATTTGCTGCTTATTGGAATAATTACTCATCTGGCCAGTTACCCACAACCTCTTCTTCGTTCCTTTCTGCTCAATACGAATATGGTATTTCAGCCTAGTGTGCGGTCTCTGTACCAGGTACTACTTTGTTACCTAAAAAGAAAACCTGTGAAGCTCATTTTAAAGTGCAGCGGTTCAGTTGCTGCAGAGTGATGTCTTAATGTTGATTCATTAATAATGCTGTTGTTCAAATCATGGGAATATAAAATAACACAGAAAGGAAAGTTATTGAGAACAAAGTACACAATTCAGTAATAATTTAGTAAATACCTGAAATGACAATATGAAGGTACAGTATATAACTGTTTTTGTTTTTGTTTTGCAGGTGCTGGCATCTATAAAGAACAAAATCGAGCAGTTCGCTTCCATTGAAAAAGATTTCCCTGCTCTCCTTATACAAGCACAAAAGTACCTGCTTTTACGAGTAGATGCATTGGATATTCCTTTAGAATCATTAAATAAAGGTAATATATTATCATTCCTGATAAATTAAACATGCTTTATTGTTTCCTGGTTTTAATAAGAACTGAATAAATGAAAAGTAAACTATACTTTATACTATGCAAGGTTATTCTAGATAATTGTTGGGATAAATTTTGCAAATTGTCCTACCCACTGTTCTCTTTAGATGAGAATAGTTGGCATCTGATCACCTATCGAGTTGGGTTCATAGTGACTGGAGGTAGCAGGTAAATGATATGGCTAGGACATGTGAAAGCTTGAACTATCAGCATATCTCAAGGGTGGACAACCAGAGGATAATCCTTCTTCCTGACTTCCAGAATGCTTTCAAATTGCTGAAAAATGATGGTATAGTTTTCCAACATTGCTGAGCAGGGACTACATAAAACCTATAGCACAAACCCTAAAATAGGCTTAAAATAATTTATTATTCACTTCAATATCCATATATCCCAAAGAAAACTAGAAAGCAGAGAAAACCTAACTCCCTGTCCTCATGGATGACTAGGCCCCTGAAATTTTGTGCGTACAAAATAATTGTGCTACTTAGCTGCAGCCTTCATACCCTATTTTTCTTTCTAGAAGATAAGACCATTATACAGTTCTAATTTTATTTATTTATGACAAGAAGCTCTGCTGTAGACTACCTTAAAATGGTATTCTGTGAACACTTTCTGATTAAGGATATTTGAAAATGGCACAGCTTTTTTAAATAATTCTCAGCTATAGGTGTAACCGTTTTTTCCCCCTAGCTAGCAGAAGGGCAGTTCATAATATGTAGGCTACATTGTTTTATTTTTAGCATGGCTATGTGATGGAGAGAGCAGTTCCAAACATTCACTTAGGAATCCTAGTAGTAAAAGGTTCTGCAGTTTATGCATTGTTGTCAGAGATGAGCAAATCTAACATCTCATGAATGCACTTTGTCAAGTGGGATTGACTGTGGTAAAAATAAGTCTAGCTGTAAACACTTTAGGGCAGAGGGGTTAGGCTATTTCATATGAGACAAGATTCTTCTACTGCAGCTGCTTTTTGATTATATTGTTGTCAATTCTGATGTGTTGGCCAGAGTCGACTTTTATTGCAACAATGAGTAGGCTAATAAAACAAAAATTGTCCATGCTTTAGGGAGAAGATGAGCATTTTCTGCAGTCCCCCTTTGACCTGGGTTGCTTGCATAAAATTACTGGATAGCTATGTAAATAACGCTAGTTTGAATAATTTGCTCAAGAGCTGTTTAACAGAAAATTCAGGAAGAAAAATTCCGTATATATCCTAGTAGCTGATTTCTTGTACCAAATTCCTCAAACTGCTTTTTAAGCTTTGGCCTTTAAGGACTTTGTCACATCATTATTTATTTGACAAATGAGTAGTTTCTAATTTGTTGTTGAAACTGAGATACCTTATGTAAAGTTAGCAGTCATTTTACATGATTATCTAATTTTCTAAGCACTAGGCAGAGATTTCCTGATCCTCTTGCTAAACACTCCTTAATGCACTAGGAGGGGAGGTGGCCCTGTTCTTTTTCATGTTTTGCACTAGTAATATTTGGCAAACTTGTTATCCTTTTTCTCAGGCTCTGAAAAACCCATTATACCTACATAGAGGTCTCTAGTTTTATTCCCACAACAAACCTGTGCAGTTGGTTGCAGTTGTACTAGATCAACTGATTAATGTACATGCTCTCCTAGTGATAAAATTTAAATACATCAATGGCATGGAATGAGCTTAAAAGAGGAAGGCCTATTAGCACAGATGTGAAAGTAGTGAAGGAGATACAATTAACTATTTATATGAGTGGAAGTGTCAGTTTTGTATGTACACTCGTGTGGAAAAAAAAGTACACCCTCTTTGAGTTCTATGGTTTTACATATGAGGTCATCTGGTCCTTAGCAGTTCTCAAAAGTAGGTAAATACAACCTCAGATGAACAACAACACATGATATATTACATCATGTCATCATTTATTTTACAAAAAAAAAGCCAAAATGGAGAAGCCATATATGAGAAATTAAGTACACCCTTACTGCTTCCATAGGTATGAAGAGGCTAAGTAGCATCCAGGTGCTGCTAATCAAATGCCCTTGATCAATTGATCATCAGCAAGTGTGACTACCTCTATAAAAGCTGAAGTTTTAGGAGTTTGCTGGTCTCAGGAATTGAGGTGTGTGTTAATACAATGCCAAAGAGTAAAGACATCAGCAATGATCTTAGAGAAGCAGTTGTTGCTGCCCATCAATCTGGAAAGGGCTCTAAGGCCATTTCCAAACAATTGAAAGTCCATCATTCTACAGTGAGGAAGATTATTCACAAGTGGAAAACATTCAAGACAGTTACCAAACTTCCCAGCAATGGATATCCCAGCAAAGTCACCCCAAGGTTAGACTCTGCAATGCTCAGAGAAATTGCAAAAAATCCAAGAGTTACCTCTCAGACTCTACAGGCCTCAGTCAGCATATTAAATGTTAAAGTTCATG